GAAAACAAAGTAGAAAATGGTGGGCATCAAATGGAGTGATGCAAGGAAAGCCAGTGAGGGAATGGAAGAGGACAGATGATGTCAAAAAGTTCCAGTGAACCAAGATCTGCTGGGTTCGGTGGAATCCAGACGGGGTTCCGTCGAACCCAGCAAACTGGGTTCAATGACCCAAGGAAGAAGAGGAAGAAAAAAAAAGAAAAGGAGAAAGGAAGAAAATGAATGGAATTTATTTATTTATTTTTTAAAATATAAATAGTAATAATGTGAGTTGGCATGAAAAAAAAAATCCACATCAACACGTTTTCAATTTGTTTTTGCCACATCATCAAAAAAATTATAAAAAATGCCACGCAAGCGAGTTAACGTTCGAAATTAACAGAAGGAATAACGGAGTGCATTTCTTAAAGTTTAGGGATCAAAAAAGTACAAAAAATTATTGAGAGACCAAAAATGTGCAACTCACTAAAATTGAGGGACCAAATTTAGCATTTAACCTAATAAAAAAGGTATTTCGATAATCTAAAGACAATTCAATTTACAAAATAGTAGAGTCCTAAAATAATATAAGTAATAAAATAAAACTTATACTAGAATGCAGGGACAAATGTATTTTAATCCAAATATGAGGGTTTTTTTTGTAATTTAATATTTTTCATCCAAAATTTCCCCAGCGAAACTCGTTTTCCCTGTTAATCTGCAGTCTACACCGTCACCACCGCCTTGTTCCATCCTCAGTAGGTGCCCCAGTTCTTATTTTTGACCTGAAGGCGGAAGCACTAGCACCTCAACAGCATTTAACAGCCGCCATTGAAGCAACCAGCGTCGACAGTCGCAATAGCACCAAGTACGTTAGATCTGTTTCTGATATATATTTTAACACATATACCTAGTTTCCGTTTTATATATGGTTTTGAATTCGTTTCCCGCAATGAAATTTGATGCCCAAAACTAAATTTTGGTGTGATTCTTTGCTCATTTATGGGGTCCATGTTCTCAATTTGACTGTTTCTCGTTTGTGGGTCGTGACTTATGTTTCTTGTTTGTGGGTCGTAACTCATGTTTCGCCTGTATCTTTTGAGTATAAGAGTTAGGGATTGCTCATTTGAGGTCGGTTTCTATGTCCCGCTTCCTAGTCAATCATTTAACTCAATTATATGTTAGTGTTCTTTTTTATGAATCTTAGTTGAGGAACTTTTTATGGGTGAATTGGCTTAACCTACCATTTCAGATGGCTAAAGGCTAAAGGGTAACAAATCTGGTAATAATTCCTTGAGCAACAATTATGTTCTGTCATATAGCCTGCATCCAGGGACTAGGGAGTCTCCTTTGGCATAGTCATTGAGCTTGTTATAGAAATTCTGCAGTTAAAGCTTATTTTATGGACAAAGTTTCCTTCTTTAATATAATCTTAGGGTTGCCCGAGTCCTTTTAAAAATCAGTGTAGTTGGTTTTAGAATCAGAATTATAGAATGGAGTTTGAAGTCTGTAGTTTCGAGCAAGTTAATATTGAGGTAGAAACGAAAAAAGTTTTGTTGAGGAATGTTGTGCTTTGGATAATGAATTAAGTCTTTTATGTCTTCATTCTTGAAGCCAGAAACTTTGGGAATTTTAATTTCTAATGTTATCGTTTTGATATGAAGGATCCAGCCAAAGCAATGGCAGATGGAGATGAGGACTTGCCAAGAGATGCAAAGATTGTTAAGTCACTGCTGAAATCGATGGGGGTTGAGGACTATGAACCTCGTGTCATTCATCAGTTTCTTGAGCTGTGGTATCGTTATGTTGTTGATGTGCTAACAGATGCACAGGTCTATTCAGAACATGCTGGCAAGACTACCATCGACTGTGAGGATGTGAAGCTAGCCATTCAATCAAAAGTCAATTTCAGCTTCTCACAACCCCCTCCAAGAGAGGTAATTTAGCTGTTTGATATTCTTACTGCTATTGAAAATGCATTCAAACAAAGTGAAGTTCAGTACTGATTGGAGTGAGGTTTCCTTGACAGAGCTTTTCATTGATTAAGTACTAGGAGGATAACTTGTTCTCTTTTTGCATAAGGACATTACACCATGAACTTTTCTTGTTGTGATCACTTCTAAAACTGGGTATTTTTGCAACTTTTCCATTTCTTTTCACCTCATCTTTTTCCAGTGAGATTTTACCTTGATAGGAAAAGATTTTTTACTCTTCTCATTTCTATCATTTTTCCTTCATAATCTTACCTCAATTCAAATTTTTATTTGATTCACCGCATCTATTTTCAAACCACCATGAACATTTTCTGCTTGCTATCAGCCCCGACCCACAATATGTTTGAAACTTTTGGGAAGGAAGCGTTTGTAAATTTTCATTTTTGCTTGTTTGTTATGTCCTCCTGGCTCTTGTTAAAATGCTTTACCTAACTCTTTAATAGGTCCTCCTAGAGTTGGCACGGAACAGGAACAAAATTCCATTGCCAAAGACAATAGCAGGGCCTGGCATACCACTCCCACCCGAGCAGGACACATTGATAAGCCCGAACTACCAGCTCGCGATCCCAAAGAAGCAACCTGCTCAGGCAGTTGAAGAAACAGAGGAGGATGAAGCAGGTGCATCCGACACAAACCCATCCCGAGATCAGAAAACTGATGCACCACAACAAACTCCTCAGAGAGTATCATTTCCCCTTGGTAAGCGTATGACGTAAGAATTATATATTAGTTTCCTTCCCAAGATGTATCTGTTATGCCGATATACATTAGATTCCATAATCAGTGAGGGATCATAAATCTGCTTCCCAGGAGTACTTTTTTAGTTCTTATGTAGTTACATTATCCAGCATTTTAATCTATTATAAGTTCTCTTCAACAATTACAGTAGATTGATTCAAACCCCACATGAGTAATTTGAGTTGTTTCTATTTATGATTCTGAAGTATGTAAGCTATAAATGTGTTGTTAGAAATTCGGCAGATCCATCATCTTCAAGTTTCAGGAAATTCTTCCATTCATTTCTGCTAACGGGAAATTCACATTTCCTGAAAGCAATGCATTTAAAAGGAGATAAAATAAAACAAGCTTAGGGGGAACGTTTCTCCCAAGTGGCATACGAGGACAATGGGCTCTAGCAGGGAGTAGTTGTATTTGTAAGGCAAAAGCTGGTTTTCTATTCATTCTGGCTGTTGTTTTGGTTAGGTCCCCCTTTTTTATAATTTCTTGATTTTTTATTTTTGTTTGCTTGCAAAATGAGTTTGCAACTTTGCAATCAAATGTAAAATACAGTAATAATGAAGTGAAAAAAAAAAAATTAAATCTCTGAAATTGATCGTCATTATTATGCCAGGTTGTGGTTATTAACCACAAAATTTTATGTTTGGACAACACAGTTTTGACTAATATTTTATTTATTTATAATCTTTGTTTTTTAAAAGTTTAGTTATAATATCTAAAATTATTTATCTATAAAGATTAGTATTTATCCGACTTATCTTTTAAAGATCAA